CCCTGACAGATGGAAATGGAGAACAAGAAGATTTATAAATAGAAAGATATCCCCGTTCTGGTGACCGCACAAGAGAATATCCCCACTTAGAATACAGGTGAAGGGTGAGCAAACTCCAGCCCTTTAGCTGTGGTGGAACTACAAATCCCATCAGGCATGTAAGACTCTGGCAGACACAGGCATGACTCCCAGAGGCAGAGACATGTTGGGATTTGTAGTTTCACCACAGCCGGAGGGCCCACGTTTGACTACCCCTGACTATAGAGCAATGAAACCTTGACATTGGCTCTAAGCCTTCCCCACTTTACTTTAAAAATATTGTTTTTTTTATTGGCAGCCTTTGTCCCCCGTTGGATAGATTTTCCCTTACTTCCTGTCTCGGTGACTACACAGGTAGTGTAATGAGGAGACTGACATCAGTAAGAACCAGAGAGAACCAGCGTTGGATCCTTGGCTTGGATTGGACGTCCCAGTTGTGTATGGGATGCTAGCAAGAACCATATAGAGCGGCAGAGGGGTTGCGCGCTGGATCCTTGGCTTGGATTGGACGTCTCAGACGTGTATGGGATGCTAGGAACCTGAGCAGGCTTTCTAGTCCCTTGAGCGCATTCAATTTGCAGGACACTAATCATCTGTCTGAATCTGACTCTGTATCAGCTTCTTTGGCTGGAGTAAAGGAACCAATCAGTTCATGTGCTGGCAAGAAGCATGCTGATGGTAGAAGAGAGCAGAGTAACAGAGAGATAACCTCGTCACTGTGCTGCTTCTCCTTTCACTGTCCAGTCACTGGTCTGGGATGACCCGGACTCAGAGGCGGTGGTTTGAATTGAATCTGACCCGGTATCAGCTTCTTGTACACCCTGGCTGGAGTGAAGGAAGCAATCAGTTCATGTGCTGGCAAGAAGCATGCTGATAGAAGAAGAGAGCAGCGTGACAGAGAGATAACCTCGTCACTGTGCTGCTTCTCCTTTCACTGTCCAGTCACAAGCTGGGGGCTGGTCCGGGATGACCTGAGCTCAGAGGAAGTGGGTTGAGTGATACTGGCTGTCAGCACACCTAGTGGCAGAAAAAAGTACTGCAGGGGAAATCTCCTTCAACCTATTGCAGCGAAAGCTGATTTGGGTGTTTTATCTTTTGAGTTCTGCTTTCAAAATGTTGGCTGGAGTTTCCCTTACATGTCATATGAGGTGTATGCAGCTCCTAATCCGGGGTCATAGAGGGGCGCAGACCAATAAAAAGCTGCCTGTGAGGCACATGACTCAAATCCTAAGGCCACGTTCACACATGCAGTGCGTTCGACCCAATTCTGGCCAGGATGCACTGCCTCGCATTGCGGCCGCCTCGCTTTTTTTGTGGGGCAGGAGGGATCCATTGAAGCGAATGGCACCGTAGCCACGCCCTCCGGCCGCAATGCGATCGGCCGCACGGGATGGCAAGCCACATTATGCCTGCGGTCCGGTCTGATCAAAATAGTGCTTGCAGCATGGTGCCATTCACTTCAATGGATCGCCATGCCCCCTCCTACCCCACAAAAAAGTGAGCCAGCCGCAATGCGAGGCAGTGCGTTCCGGCCAGAATCGGGCCGGGACGCACTGCATCTGGTATGAACGAGCCCTAAATCTTACCCCATCTGTCTGTCTATTTGCAGCATACAATGGACATTCCTGATTCATCTTCAGTCTCTCTTTATCCCTGATGTCATTTTTCTGCTACAACACCAATGTAACTGGTGTGCGCGGTGACGGAAGGGTTAACCCCCCCCCCCCATGAACAAATCACGTGCTTCCATTCTGTCACAATTCCCGTAAAACTTCCCTTGCAGTTGACCGCCAGAACTATCTCTCTGGCCCGCAGCCCTCGCTGACTCAATGCGCAGTTATGCAATATCGCCCAATCTATTTCACTTTTTATATTTCAGCTCGTAAAAAAAAAAAGTCCAAAGCGCAGGAAGCGATGTGCCAGGCCGCGGCGGGGCGGAATATCGCCTTCCCATAGGTAGAAAGTCTTGCACTTGCGCAATATCACGTTTATTGATTTCACTTTTTTTTCTATATTTTAGGTCGTAAAAAAGAAAAAACTTGAAGTGTGTTAAAGGGCAGAGCCGGTTCCGTGGCGGAATACGTGGAAGGAGGAAACTCGTTACTTCTAAAATAATGTGCGTGTGACGGAGATCATGTGACTGCTAGTCTTTACAGAGCAGGGGTGGGCAACTCCGGCACTCCAGCTGTGGTGGAACTACAAGTCCCATGAGGCAATGCAGGACTGACAGTAAGAGGCATGACTCCCAGAGGCAGAGGCATGCTGGGACTTGTAGGTAAAGGACAGCTGGAGGGGCCGGAGTTCCCCACCCCTGTTTACAGGGAGTAATGAGAAAAGTTGCAAATCTGTGCGCTGCTCAGCCTCATATGTGATCTCTAAGGCCACGTACACGCCAGGACGGTTCGGTCTTGCGGATTTGTCCGCTCTGAACCGCTGACATAAACAATCCAATCAGGGGCGTCCCGAGGCCGGGTGACACTCTGCCGTGAACTCACGTGCGCGTGACGACACCTCGCACTTGCACAATGACGTAATCGCGCATGCGCGACCATCTTATTAATACCTGTCGGCGGCCATCTTGGTGATGGACAATGGCAGAGTGAGGAGGGGACAGTCACCCGGCGGGATAAGGTATGGCAGGGCTGTAGCTACCATGAGGAGAGTGAGGCACTCGCCTCAGGCACAGCCGAGAGGGGGCGCAGCCCTCACACCTGTTGCCATGGACAAACACAGGGCGCCTATGGCAACAGGGGCGCCAGGCGGCCAACACAGCCGCGGCTCAGCAGGAAAAAGAGGAGCGTCACAGGCTCCAGCTTCTCCTCGGATCCCTGCTGCTCTCCCCCACTTGTTTGGGCAGAGGACTCTTTGCCCTCAATCTCTTTTTCTATTTCAAAAGGGAAAAGTCAGGTGTCTATTTAGACCCCTGATTTTTCCCTGAAAAAATGTTTATGCTATTTTGGATTTGGCCTCCAGTGCATTATGCGCATGCGCTCCGCCATCCTGGAGGCGGGGAGCATGACGGCGCACACTTCTGTTGGGGGGCACAATTTTCTGTTCTTGCCTCGGGTGCAAAAGGAGCTAGCTACGGCTCTGAGGTATGGGGTCCCCTCCTCTCTCCCGAAACTGTCGGACTCTAGGTCCATGGCCGAGTGCCCGACTTTTCCAGTCATTTTGGTCAAAACGACTACCAGTCATTTTGGTGTCACCTCTCCAATGGTGTCACCTGGGTGCGGGACCGCACCCCTCTTGTGAGGCCATTGTGTGAAGCAACAATGAATCTCCCTGAAATCACATGAGACACAACAATCTATGATCCCCATGTGTCTTCTTGTGTTCCGTCCGAGATCCATCCCTGCGAATCCATCCCGGATCCTTCTATGAAATCTTCCGATGTCCCCGGAGGAGATACGAGTCCCCCCCACACCGTCCACATTCACCCCAAGAGTCTGATTAGTCACAGCAGACAAGACCAGGCGGCTCCGGCATAATTGCAGCGCGGGAATAGGGGCCGCGCCCTGGAAGTCATGGTTTTCCGCAGCTTGCTTGTTACAGGTGAATTGTGACAATAAGATCCGGGAGTGTCTCTGCTTCAGCTTCAAGAGGAACTCCAGGAATAAACATTAACCCTTGTAGAGAGGATACCCCTGAACTGCAAGGGTTAAGTGTTCGTTAAGGGGCTGGACTAAAGCAGATATATTCACACGATCCTTGATCCCACCTTGCTGCTAGACCGATCCCCGCAGCCTCTTCTCCCTCTAGCTACGGTGGTCTGACCCTTGCGGTTCCAGGGTAGCCCCACTGCAAGGGTTAATTTTGTTAATTCCTGGAGTTCCTCTTTAAAATGTATTTCCACTTTTTCAGTCAAATTTGGGAAATCCCCCTCTATATCGTTCTAATGGGTTCCCATTCACACGGCACACCTGAGAAGGAGTTTCTAGTTGTTGTTTTTTGGAGCAGGATAATACATAGGACTCTATGGGCAACGTCAACTACAAGTCCCATGAGGCACTGCAAGACTATGACAGCCAGGGCAGATTAAGAGCATCACGGGCCTGGTGCTGAGGATGGACCTTTTTATGGAAATGGAGACGGTCACAGGGGCCCTCCTGTCCGGGCTGTGGTCTCTCTACAGTCCCGGTTGCAGCTGCGACCCTGGTAGATCTGCCACTGACTCCAAGCTGTAGAGGGACTACAAATCCCAGCAATACATTATACAGCAATGCAGAATACAATGCAGAGGACTACAAATTCCCGTGCGAGCTCCAGGTGGTCAGTGCGAGCTCCAGGTGGTCAGTGCGAGCTCCAGGTGGTCAGTGAGACTGGTGGCTGCAGCCACGGCAGATGCAGCTCTCTGCTCAGGCATTTTATTGGGCCCTCTGATATGCCAAATTGCACTCAGGCCAGCTGCGATTTGGGTCAGGTCGGCCCGGCCGCGATTCGCAACCTGTGCAATTGTTCACCCCAAATATGTCCAAGGACCCCTTCAGATGTCGTAGTGCACTGGCTGGAACGCACACGTTAGGGCCGCACCAATACCGATACTAGTATTGGTATCAGTGCTGATACCAAGTATTTGGGCGAGTACTTGCCCAAATGTTTCGATGCCTAGCCCGATACCTGAGCTTCCGGTATCAGGAAGCCGCGCAGCGAGTCATTACACTTGGTGACGAGGGAGCATAAAGCCGGCTTCTCGGCCAATCAGGAAGCCGGGCAGCATGTAATAACTCACTGCCTAAGTTCCTGATTGGTCAGGAAGCTGGCGGTGCGTCATTACCCGTCCCCCAGTTTTCTGATTGGGCAAAAAGCCAGTTTTATGCTTTCTCCTCACCTGGTGACGAGGGAGCATGGAGCCGGCTTCCCGGCCAATCAGGAAGCCGGGCGCCGTGTAATGACTCATTGCCCGGCTTCCTGATTGGTCGAGAAGCTGTCCTATCAGGAAGCCAGACAGCAAGTCATTACCCAAATACCCGGCTTACTGATTGGCCAGAAAGCCGGCTCCATGCTTCCTCGTCACCTGGTGATGAGGGAGCATGGAGACGGCTTCCCTGCTAATTAGGAAGCCAGGTGGTGGGTAATGACTCGCCGCCTGGCTTCCTAATTGGACAGCTTCTCTACCAATCAGGAAGCCGAGCAACGAGTCATTACACGGCGCCCGGCTTCCTTAATGGGACTTCCGGTATCAGTATTCGGTATCGGCGAGTACTGAAAAAGAAATATCGGTACTCGTACTCAATACAGAAAAAACAGTATTGGTGCTTCCCTAGTTGAGACATTCTCCACCCTTTTTGGCATTGCAGGTTTGGTAGAGAATTTGGATACGTATACCTTCCACATTTTATTGGGAATAAACAGGAAACATTTTTTTTTTAAATGCCGCCTCTGAGCCCGGGGACAAACATGACGTCCCTGGTGGCCAGGAGCTGAGCGCGACGCTGTCCGAGCATCTCACTGTTGGCTCTTAGCAACCTTGGATGCTCCATGTGACCTAGATGTCGCCTGAGGCAACAACCTCTGACTGCCTTATTATAGGGACGGCCCTGTATGGAATTATGAACCTTCCTCCGTACAGGTAACACATGCAACAATAAAGATGCCTTCCCTTCCCCTCCCCCTCCAACCCTGAGAACATGCCTTTTATTTCTTGTTGTTGCAGACAGGTTGATTTTACAAGCAATCTTCTCACAGCAATAAAAAATCCATTATAAGATGGCAATTCAAATGGAAGGATCGTAATCCCAGTCGTGGGAATCGTACTCATATGTTTTATTCTTCTGTAAACATGCATGCAGCAGCCCTGCATTATTTATTACAACTGCAGGCAAGAGTACATGGTGAGAAGAAATGTGTCTGCTTATATTTCTTGTAATATGGATGCAAATTGATGACATGAACAGCTCATCCTCCAACGGGACACATTCCAATACATTGTATCTCTGCCTGTGTACACAGCGCCACCTGCTGGACAAACTATAGAGCGCTACGGCCATGCTGTGATGTGACTGCTGATACAGTGCCACCTACCGAGCAATAAAGAGAACGCTGCCACCGTGTTATTGAATGGCAATTCTCCGTCTGGTGAGACAGCGACACCTACAGAACAATACAGGAAGCCGCCGTGTTGTTGAATGGCGATTCTCCGTCTGATGGGACAGTGTCACCTACCGAGCAATAAAGAGAGCGCTGCCGCCGTCTTATTGAATGGCGACTCTCCTTCTGGTGAGACAGCGCCACCTACCGAGCCAAAAAAGAGAACGATACCGCCGTGTTATTGAAAGACGATGCTCCGTCTGGTGGGAAAGCGCCACCTGGCGGCGGCAGCTGACAGGAGCAGTGTAGGCGGGAAGATCGCGGAAGAGAAATTTGGACAGCAGGGAGGACGCTCCTCCCAATCACAGACCACGTGTAGACAAAGCCCCGCCCATCCCATGACAACTACCTGCAGTGTGATCATCGAGGACAGAGCCGGGAGACATGGATTCCCCGAGACCTGAAGAAGAGGATGAGGATGACACGGACTGGATGTCCCGGGAGGAGCAGGAGGAACGTACAGGCATTCCTGTGCACCAGAAAGGAGCTTCGTGTAAATAATGACCCCTCCCCCAGACTGTACATTATATGACAGCGCCCCTCCCCCAGACTGTACATTATATCACTGCACCCCTCCACCCATACTGTACACTATATATCCTCTCCTCCTGTCAGCATGTTCCCTGTCAGCACATGTGCATACCCCGGAGCCTGATTGGCTCTTAGTTCTGCCCCTCCCAGTCTGAGCACTGCTGTGCGGGAAGCTGATATCAGGACAGAGTCAGGTACTTATATTGGCAGTATGGAAAAGTACAATTCATTATTTCTAAAGGAATACACACTCACTTTTTTTTTTAGTTTGGCTTTAATCTGAGTGTTTTGTTTTATTGTTTTCTGTTCAGTTTGCAGACCAGTGACGAGATCTGACGCCTCCAGACGGGTGACCGTCCACCTCGACATGGATTGCTTCTACGCCCAAGTGGAGATGATCAGGAACCCGGAGCTGAAGGACAAACCTTTGGGTGAAACTGACGTCACATGACCTCGGTTTATGAGTGACGTCATGTGACCTCGGTTCCTGGCTGACGTCACATGACCTCGGATCCATGAGTGAGGTCACTTGACCTCGTGTCCATGACTGACAACACGTGACCTCAGGTCCTTGACTGACGTCACGTGGCCTCCCGTATACTCTGTAGACATGACAACAATGCTCCTGTATTTGGGGCTCCGATGAAGAGTCACAGCTCCAAGCTCGCCCCCGGGATGGACTACAATCTCAATAAAAATCAGTAAATTAAACATGAGATTGTAGTCCATCACAGGAGTGAGCTTGGAGCGGTGACTACAGCACACACAGGAACCATGGGGAACTAAAGTAGCCACCCTCCAGAAGGAAGGAAATTGTCAGCACCAATTCAGAGATGATTGGAGGATCTACAGCCGAGTGATACACACATAAGATATATTGCTGTGAATATGTAATGTAGTTGAAGTCAGATATTATCACCTGACCATCCGAGCCGGCTTGTTCTTAGACCCGGTGTCCACAACGTCTCTCCCCCTCTGCCACAGCGGTCCAGGGTCCTGATGACATCACTCTCTATAGACTGTGAATAGACCTGAGGAGCGGTCCCATCAGTGCAGAGGAGGAGGAGACACTTCAGTCATCACAGAAGCAGGACGCCGGCTCCGATGGTCTGGTGAGTATAACTTGCACCTAGACACAAAAGAGCACCTAACCCTTGCAGTGCTGGGGTGGCCCCACGGCGAGGGTTAGTAAAAAAAAAATGTCCCTGGAGTTCTTCTGTAAATGACAATGACAGCATAAGGAGGTGGAGGACCTAAAGTCAATATCTGACTTCAAGTACATTACATATTCACAGCAATATATCCTGTGTTCTTCTGTACAGCCTGTGCTCATTATTGTCTCGGGGGATTGTATAAAGAACTTTTACCTGATCCCCACTCCCGCTGGCTCCCGGAGCCCCTTCTCTCCTGCGCTCCCATGGTCAAAAGCCCACTGGCATCATCACGTCTCATGCAGGGCCCACAACCCTACATTGTATATGAGGAGGCTGAGGGACAGTCCACAAGCTGGAGAGGATGGGAGAGCTAAGTGGCGACTGCCGGGGGAGTGGGGGACACGTAAGTAAAAGTCCTTTACACAGGTCCCTTTGACATCAATGTCTGAGCAGTGCGGGATCCCTCTGAGCAGTGCAGGGGACCCTCTGAGCAGTGCGGGGGTCCCTCTGAGCAGTGCGGGGGTCTCTCTAAGCAGTGCGGGGGACCCTCTGATTGGTTGCCATGGGCAACTGCTCTAGCTTTTGCCTGCTCCAGTTTTCATAAATCCCCTCCAGTGTACATTGTGACCTGTGCACCACATGTGGAAAGGCCCCTAATCCTGGCTCGTGTCTCCCGTAGGCGTCCAGCAGAAATACCTTCTCGTCACCTGTAACTATGTAGCCAGGAAGTGTGGAGTCAACAAGTGCATGTCCCTCAAAGAGGCCAAAGAGAAATGTCCACAGCTGGTGCTGGTGAGCGGGGAGGACCTGACACACTACAGAGAGACGTCCTACAGGGTTACAGGTACTCAGCTTCTGCCTTATGTATCCTTAGGTCCTAATATAACCGGAGGTCCATGATGTGCGGCTGCCAGACCAAATTCAGCAGCACTGCAATGTTTCAGTTCCCTGGACAATAACTTGAAGAATAAAATAGTCGCAGCTGCAAGGTTTTACGTCGCAGGGTATTAGCGCAGCTCATTATAAAACCCATAACCCTGGAAAAAATATGGCATCTAAGGCCCAAAACACAAGACCAGATATTCAAGGCCCAGCACTAAGGCCAGGCATCCAAAGCCCAGCACCTAAGGCAAGACACCTAAGGCACAGTACCTTAGACCAGGCATCTAAAGATCAGCACCCACAGCCCATCATCTAGGGCACAGCACCAAAGATCAGGCATCTAAGACCCAGCACCTAAGACCAGGCTTCCTAGGCCCAGCATCTGAGACCAGGCATCTAAGGCACAACACTTAAAGTGACATTAAACCCTCAGATTTTTTAACATAAACAATACTGTAATGTGCGCCTTACTGTAATCCATGGTAGTTTCCCTTCTCTTTGCTGCTCTTCCGTCTAAATCTGTATCTCTTCTCATGCTGGGGGAGAACTTCCCTTTGCAGCTGAGTGCCTCTTCCTGTAGTGCTGGCTCAGGTTACAAGCCTATACAATCTTATACACAGACACCATGTATCCATTCCAGAGACAAGGCACTCAGCTGCAAAACAGAAGTTCTGCCCAGCATGAGAAGACATGAGGATTTAAAAGGAAGAGCAGCAAAGAGAAGGGAAACAACCATGGATTACAGTAAGGCGCACATTACAGTATTGTTTTATGTTAAAAAATCTGAGGGTTTAATGTCACTTTAAGCTAATTTTAGTGCAAATAAAATAAAATATATAATCCCATTTTTTTGTAAAATATAAAATGTTAACCACTTCCTGTGGGGTCACGTAAATGTACATCCATCCTGGTAGTGGTCATACCAAGAACACGGCTGCTACTGCAGCCATGTTCCTGGTATCGGATAAAGAGCCGGCAATTGCTGTTTAAATACAAGCGATCCGGCCTCTGTACAACAGCAAAAAGTTTCCAGGCACACTCACCAGCCAGCATGCAAAAAAACCTGTCTAACTACTAAGGTTAGAAGCACAGATTTAGATACACGTCTTCTGCAGAAAATGTGAAAGCCGCACAGCCGCGTCAAGGCCCCTCTTATAGTGCGGTCCTAACTCTAAACTGTGAGAGTCTCCATCTTGGAGCACATGTGGCAAAAGATTAAATTGGGTGCAGGTTTGTCAGGAGGAAGCCCAACCTCCCTTAAAGGCACAGGTACGCACATGTACAGGCGCCAGATCGCTTGTACAGTGTGGCGCCGTGTCCCCCTTTACCCCCTCCGCGGCCACTGGTGCAGCAGTCGGCTTCCCGGGCTCCACTGTCCCTCACGTGAGCCCGGGACCGGCATGGAGGGTCTCCCCTAATAGATCGGAGGAGAGGCCAGCGGTTTCCAGCCGCTGATATCTCCTCCGATCAGTGGACCCGGAAGTGAGGTGCATTACATCACTTCCGGTGTCACTGGGCACATTCTCCGGCTCCTAGAGCCAGAAGAAGAAGCTGGGGAACCAGATCTCTGAGCCGTAAAAGCATTTAAAGCCTCGCCCATGGGAAATTTTGGTTATTGTCGTTTTTTTGCAGTTTCACGGGCGCACGCAATTTTAAGGCTTGACATGTTTGGAATCTATTTACCCGACGTGACCCCGTCTTTTATATTTTACCAAAAACATTTGCATTATATTCTGTTTCTGGGGACTAAATTCCATTTTAGTTATTTTAACCTAAAAATACTTGTTTGCTAAACATTTGGGCAAATACCGTGCGACATAAAAAAATTGCAACTACCATCTTTTTATTCTACAGGGCCTCCGCTTTCAGAAAATATATTCTGAACAATTCTTTAAAATTGGGATTTCTTTTGCAACGAGTGCAGGAAATATCAAGAGCTCGGTTTTTGAAAGATTGAGTTTTAAGGCCTTGTTCACATCAAATGCAGACCAGATCCGGTCAGGTTTCTGCACACGCAGTGCAGTGGGTTTTGATGCGTTTTGGATGCGTTAAGGGCCGTTTTTTTAAAAGTTTAACATGGGCTTTCAGGCACTTGCATGCGTTTTAGATGTGTTTTTGATGCGTTCCAGAGCAGGTAAAATAGGGCTTGCCGCAGTTTTTTCACCTGCTCTGGATCTGCACGCTGCGATGTGAACTGGAGGTCAAAATACCATAGGAATACATTGGATGCAGTTTTGATCCGGTCTGCACCTGCTCTGGTCTGGATCTGCTCCGCTCTTGGTGTGAACAAGGCCTTAGTCTCATGATTGATCTCTACCTGTAACTAAAGCCGGCCATACCTTGTCCTCCATTAACACAAACAGCGTGTGGATCGAGGAATTGCAGCTGTTTACATTGTATTCTGACAGGTGCCGCCGACACCCGATCATACCCGATCAGAGCGGGCAGCTCATTGTCTGCCGGCTGTGATCGTGCGAAGATTTTCCAGCCGGCTCCTTCGATAAGCTGATCGAGAAATGGCTGCTGAAAGGGAGCCGACAGCCCCACACACTTGGCCGAATTTCGACCGGTACATTAAAAACCGCACGAAATTCAGCCAATGTATGGGCACCTTTTTATACTGTATATTTAAAACACATTTTTTAAAAAGACCACCACCCAATGTTTTGCTGAATTTATCAGCTTCATCAGAGGTTTTGGTTAAAAAAATATTCAAAAAGTGCTCATGTTCTCACAAACAATAGCCTGGCCACACAGTCTGTTCCTTTTTATATAGGCTCTCATTTGGCGCTTTGTGATGTCATTATGTCAATTGTCACATCACGTTGATGCGTATGTGAAACCAGGGTGCCGTTCAAAAGAAGAAAAAAAACGACCAGGGAAATTATTCAGGATATTTTTTTCTATTACATCTTGTTTACCTTATTTTTTCTCCTCGAAAACTGGAATTCAAAAATATTTTCAAAAATACACAATATTGCCAAGTATTGGGACACCCCTCCAAATCATTGGATTCAGGTGTTCCAATCCCCTCCATGGCCACATGTGTATAAAACCACGCATCTCGGCATGCAGACGCTTCTACAAACATTTGTGAAAGAATGGGTCGCTCAACAACAGTGCGTAGAGAGCCTCATGGAATGGGTTTCTATGGCCGAGCAGCTGCATCCAAGCCTTACATCACCAAGTGATATAAGCATCGGATGCAGGGGTGTAAAGCACGCCGCCACTGGACTCTAGAGAAGTGGAGACGTGTTCTCTGGAGTGACCAATCACGCTTCTCTGTCTGGCAATCCGATGGACGTGTCTGAGTTTGGCGGTTGCCAGGAGAACGGTACTTGCCTGCCTGCATTGTGCCAAGTGTAAAGTTTGGTGGAGGGGGGATTATGGTGTGGTGTTGTTCTTCAGGGGTTGGGTGTGGCTCCTTAGTTCCAGTGAAGGGAACTCTTAAGGCATCAGCATACCAAGACATTATGGGCAATTTTGATGCACCCAACTTTGTGGGAGGAGTTTGGGGATGGCCTTCCTGTTTCAACATGACTGCGCACCAGTGCACAAAGCAAGGTCCATAAAGACATGGATGAGCGAGTTTGGGGTGGAGGAAATTGAGTGGCCTGCAGAGAGTCCTGACCTCAACTCGATAGAACACCTTTGGGATGAATTAGAGCGGAGACTGCGAGCCCGGCCTTCTCGTCTCACATCAGTACCTGACCTCACAAATGGTCCAACACTCCCATAGACACACTCCTAAACCTTGTGGACGCCTTCCCAGAAGAGCTGAAGCTGTTATAGCGGCAAAGGGCGGAGCCAACTCAATACTGAACCCTACAGACTAAGACTGGGGTGCCATTAAAGTTCATGTGCGTGTAAAGGCCGGCGTCCCAATACCTTTGGTAATATAGTGTATTCAATATTGTTGTAATATCTCGATACTCCAGAAAAAGAGTAAGGTTTTGAAAAAAAAAATCTCCTTTATTGGTATATGGTCACAAAACACAGTGATTAGTTCCCGATTGTTGTTTCAGACCGGAGCAGTCAGAGACAGTAGGGAACACGCTCCCTACTGTTAAATGGAAGAATATAAAAACCTCAATTAAACTTTAGAGAAACTGGGAATCTGCAGTAAAGATACTTTTTCAGCCAATATACAAGTCCAAACGTTCACCGCGCGAAAAAAAAAATTCTGCAATATGCGTCCTCCAGTAGCATTCAAAAAGAACGTTATATCGCGCTCACCAGGATCCAAGTGACCTTGTGAAACTTCAATACAACTTTGTCAGAATGAGGTATCTTATCTCAACCTGAAACCCGGTGGGAGCATTAGAACGCTCTTTCTGAATGCTGTTAGGTGATATACTGTATATTGCAGGAAGCTGTTTCTTCTCGCAGTGAACATTTGGAACATTTTGACTTGTATAGATGGGGAATATAGAGTCCCGACCCTGGAAATGTTTATCTACAGATTGCAGGCGCCTGCTCATTAAAGGGTCAGCAGATGAAATCACCTATCGGAGTTCTACCCATCCACTGAAAGCCAATACAAGGATGAAGGGTCGCCTTCTTGGCCGGCTTTTCCTTTTATTTATTATTGTGGAGGAATCATTAGGAGAATTGAACTTTTCCAGCTGTGGCAGGAAGAATGAGACGTCCTGGTATATGAGAGTGGAGCTGGGAGTCTTTCACCACCCATTCCTCACAGGGTCTGTACAGCCAGTGGATTGAGCCCACCGACATCAAACATAACAAGGATATTCATTTTAGGTGACTCTTTAAAGAGTACAGTTTCTAGAAGTGGAGGGTGGGGGGAGACAAGAATCCAATCCTACATCCTCTGTTCATCTTTGCCAAGGTTGGAATTCTGATTAAGTGGGTTACATGTACTGTATGAATCATGACAGTACACTAAGAGGTCTATTTATAAACATTCACTCTGCAAATCTCTGTGAATGTTTGTTCTGTGTGAATGGAAGTTAAAATGAACACTCTTAGATTTTGTTTTCAGGTCGACTATAATGTAGAGCATGTACTGTAATAGTGCATTTTGACCGCTAGATGGAGCTGAGGAGTCTAGGAAAAAGTCTTTATTTCCTGTGCTCCTCAGCTCCATCTAGTGGTAAAATACAGTATCACATTACATGCTGTACAGTATATTCGACCTGAAAAGAAAATATATCTAAGCATGTTCATGTTTGCATCTATTGCCACAGAATGAGGGAGGCGTGTGGAATACAAACTGATTTTCTTTGGAAAAGCATCGTGTGCTGGTCCTGCAGGTTTCATAGGGTGAATGGTTTTGCAAATTGATTATTAATAGACCCAGTAGGGTTTGTTCACACTAGTGCATTGTAATAACACACGCCATCAATGTGCAGAATTCGGATGTTAATGTGCATTACAGTAAGGCAGGAGTAGGCAACCCTGGCACATCTGGCTGAGGTGAAAACTACAAATTCCATAATACCTCTGCCTCTTGGGGGCATACCTGTGGCTGTCAGTCTTGCATAGGGCTGCAACAACTAATCGACTAAATCAATAGTAATCAATTATGAGAATAGTTGGCAACTTTTCTCAAAATAGTACTAGGTCTTGTTTTCGGGGAAACACGGTAGGTGAATATTTATTGGAACCTATAGTCCCAACATATCGTATTTTTCGCTCCATAAGACACACTCTTTTCCCCCCAAAAGGCGGGGGAAAATGTGTGTGCGTCTTATGGAGGGAATCCCTATCGCCCGACGCCAGAGACATGCAGTTTCGGCCGCTAGGCGTAGTTTTTTGTACATTTAGCCCTGCTAAATCAGAGCTAAATGTACGGTAGGAGCCACTGCTCGTTTAATACGAGTGATCTAATCAGATCACTCTTATTAAAACCGAGCAGCGGCGGCGGCGATTGAGATCACCATAGAGCCCCTAGAGCAGACGAAGAACGTAATCACAGCGCCACCTGTCTCAGCGGTCACTAACTGCAGCTTCTGTCACAGAAGCTGTGACAGAAGCTCCGGTCTGTTCAGTGCTCTATAATGTGCACTGGACCTCCCTGCGTCCTATGGTCCGTTGTGCCTTATGGAGCGCAAAATACGGTATACAATATTCATCAATTTTACCAAATGTGGGTTTGTTTTTTTTTGTCCCCTAAAGGTATTTATATAGTGCCGACAACTCTTTACATATTTGACATTCACGTCAGTCCCTGCCCTCATGGCTTTTACAATCTAAGAACCCTATCTCTCATACAGGGCCAATTGAGACAGGAGCCAATTAACCTACCAATATGTATTTGAGTTGTGAGAAGAAACCCACCCAAGCACGGGGAGAACATGCAAACTCCTTGCAGAGAGAGTCTTGGTTGGGGATGAATCCAAAGACTCCAGTGCTGCAAGGCAGAAGTTCTAGCTACTGTGTTCTATTACACTGCTAGTGTAATTAGCGACAGATTTTATGGGTTCCTTTCGATGCTAATTCTTGTTTTGTTTTTCCCAGAGCTGCTGGAAGAATTCAGTCCGAAGGTTGAGCGGTTGGGTTTTGATGAAAACTTTGTTGATATCACAGAGCTGGTGGATAAGAAGACACAGGAGCCTCAGAATGACGGCAGCCTAGAAGTGTCTGGACATGTGTACAATAATCAGAGTAAGAGCACAATTGATCACCTTTGACAAAGAATAATTAATTGTACATTGCCTGGCCACAAAAAAAGGCACATACTCTTGTGTTTCATAGGACCTCCTTTAGCTTGGCATCATTTCAGTAAGCTTACACAATGTCATAGGGCTGCAGCTAATGATTATTTTTATAATCGATTAGTTGCCCTATTATTTTTTCAACTAATCGATCAGTTGCATTAAAAAATCTCTCTCCCTTCCCTCTCTCCCCTCCCTCACTCTCTCCCCTCCCTCACTCTCTCCCCTCCCTCACTCTCTCCCCTCTCTCTTTCACCCCTCCTCCCTCCCTCTCTCTCTCTCTCCTCCCTCTCTCTCCCCAACTAACCAATAATGGTAATAGTTACCAACTATTCTCATCGATTATTATCAATTTAATCGTTTAGTTGTTGCAGCCCTACAATGTCACACCATTTATTTCCATCCAGAGTTGCATACAAGATTTTGTAGGGATGATGGGAGAGTCGGGCCTCTGTGTAAAGTCTTCTCCAGCACATCCCAAATATTCTCAATGGGGTTAAGGTCTGGACTCTGGTGGCCAATCCATGTGTGACAATAATGCCTCATGCTCCCTGAACCACTCTTTCACAATCTGAGCCCGATGACTCCTGGCATTGTCATCTTGGAATATGTCCAATGTGCCATCAGGGAAGAAAAAATCCATTGATGGAAAAACCTGGTCATTCAATATACAGTAATACCTTGGTTTACAAGTAACTTGGTTTGAGAGTGTTTTGCAAGACAAGCAAACATTTCTGAAAAATGTTGCCTTGATATACAAGCAATGTCTTGCAATAAGAGCAAAATTCTGTAGAAAAGCACCACCCGAATAAGGCTGTAGCAGTGCGAGCGATGAGTCTGTTTAAGGACAATGCAATGCCACATTGGATAGATTCCTTGTTAAGGTTTCACGAAATGAAAAAGATTCCATTGAGTCGAGAGATAGCAGTGATTCCGTTAGTGATAGTGAAAGTCGTCCTACACAATAATCCCCCTCTCTCTTGTACCTCTCACACCAGCCACGGAGGTACCGGTAATTGGTTTCTTTTTCTTTATATTTTGTATTATATTATAGTATAGTACAGTATTGTAATCATTTTGATATATTTTTGTGTTGTGGAACGAATCATCTGAATTTCCATTATTTCCTATGGGGAAATTCGCTTTGGATTACAAGCATGCTGCCGGAACGAATTATGCTCGTACACCAAGGTATTACTGTATTCAGGTAGACAGCTGACATCATTTTTTGGGGACAATAACGTTGCTGAACCTAGACCTGACCAACTGAAGCAACCTATGTGCTTAGCTAAATCCAGGTGGTGACTTCTTTTTTTTTGGCCAGGCAGTGTACTGTAAATCGTCATGGACTTTAGTTTGGCTACATTTGAGATTTTGATTTGAGACATTTGATAATGTTGCTGAACCTAGACCTATTATCCAATGGAAGGCTCAGACCTTTTTGCTTAGCTAAATCCAGGTGGTGACCTTGTTTTTTGGCCAGACAGTGTATTTAGGAACAGAGCCAATAGAGAGTTTTGGGGAAGGAGGCTCACTGATCAAAGATGGGCAACATGCTGGCTTTTAAATACTCACCTCTGCTCCAGCGATGTGATGTCCGCGAGCTCTCCCACTGGCGCTGAAATCTTCTACCTGGTTTCTTCTGGGTGCCCGGTCTTTGTCCTGATTGGCCTGTGGGAATGACAAAATTCGTACACAGGAGTTCATTCATTCATGCACAGTGGGTGCCAACAATGTTACACTTCGCTGTACATGGGCCCTTCAGTCTACACTGTAGAAATGATTTGTGAGCAGGCAGGTTTGTGTGACTGCAGAAGGCACATAGTACGTTTCTTCTGCCCACATTTTTTTCCTTTAGTTCCACTTTAAGAGCCTTCCATGTGACCATCAGCACCTCCAAAAGGTCGCACACTAATGTGGTCATTTTCTTAGGAAACAGAAATTCATAGTAGAGAGATGTATAGAAGACAATATGTTCTGTGCCCACCACAACAGTAGCAGCAGTACTTATTGAAGTTAACATGTCATGAGGGAAGTAAAGGGCCTTCCATTGTGATGGGAACAGCCATGTCTTCTTCTGGTGGGTGCTGAGAATCTATTTTTCTTCAAGAAATAATTACAGCCACTGACAAGGTTGACGCAAGCTAGAGCAGATGCACGCACTTGGGGTGAGGGGGTAAAAAAAAAAAAAAAAAAGGAGCTTAGTTTGGCCACAAACTGAAGAAGCATACCTCTATAGGAGAGAGCCCTAATGCAGTACATATTCAGGACAGTAAGTGGAGGAAGTGTTCTTCCAACCATCTCGAAAACAAATAAAAAGCATGTGATAACTGTGGAGGCCTAAGAAGTGACTAATAATACATAAAAGCATTTTTTTTTGTTTTTGTGTTTTAAAACTGTTAGGAATATTAGTTGGGTTCATAATACACGAGTCAGGCATCTGTTGTCTGACAGCCAGCAAGCCCATTGTAAGTTAAAATTGCGGAGTTTCATATTAGCTTTTGCAAACAAAAATTCAAAATGGACATGCGTGTTTAATATTTGTACAACTACGCTGAGTGACGGAGGTTCCGATTGTTTCCAAGCCCGCGCTATTGCCAGGCGAGCAATGGCTGACTGCACCAGAAACTGTAAACTGTCTTCTATTCCCTGGTGCTTTAGTGGGAGGAGAACTCAGTGGTGAGCTGGCAGGTCTCTTAGAAAAATCCTGCATACGATTCCTATCAGTGCTGCAGTTCTCCTCCATGTCAGAGTCGCTGCTGCAGGGAGAAGGAGTGAGAGGAGTGAGAGGAGTGATAGACACTCGCGCGGCCAGACCACCCCAAAAAAATCTTAACTGAGCAGAACCTGCAGCTTATTTTTTACAGTCACAATACAATAGACAAGTGGAGGATTCCCACGCTAACAGTGTGGATGGCGGGATCACAAGGTTTTTCTAGTTCAGGCTGTGGGACTGAACAAGAAAAGAAAAACTCAGTGGCTCATTTATAAATCTTGCGTCCAGTATTAAGCTGGGAGAATGCTGTTCGTGTGGCGTGCCACCAGTTGATGGCACCGAAGAGCATGGGAAATTTCTATGCTCCTCAGCGCCATCTGGTGGTGGTATTACGATGCAAACAGCAATTGTCCAGCTTTATGTTGGGTGGAAGGTTTATAAGTGAGCCCTATAAATTAAAGGAGAACTATGAGGTGAGTGAAAATAACTCATCCTCATCGTTCGAGCCGACGTGTGACAATGAAACTGTCACACGCCGGCTCAATAGATCGGGAAGTGAGCGAACGCATACCATCGCTCGCTCACCTCTCGATCATCTCCCTGCAGTGACTGTCAGGCTCACTGCAGGGATTCCCCCCTCCCCTGTCCGAGCCTCCAGCGCTGACTGGCGGAATGGACGGGGGAGGGGGCGGGTAATGCTGGCTCTGCCTCTAGATAGGCAGAGCCAGCTGTCAATCCCGCAGCAGGGTGGATCTCTATAGTATTGTCAGGATCCGTCCCGGCTGCGGCGGTCTCAGTATACCACGAGCTGTAGCTCGCGATATACTGAGCTTTGGGTCACAGGAGGACGCTAGTTTATGTCCTCCCGTCACCCTTAAGAGAACTATGAGGAAAAACACTTACCCCATAGTTCTCTTTTAAGGCCAGCTTTATTGTACAAAGAAAGATAAGATGTTGCAGGTAGGCAGTGGATATTATGACTGGGCACACACATTTTTTCTAGTGCGATAATGCTGCCACAAATTCCTTGCAACCAGGCGTGTTTAATCACTAGTGATCCCTATACATTAGGCTGAATGTAGTATTTATTACAGGTATTTACATAGCTCTGACGGTTTTCACAGTGCGCTACATACTGTACAGTTACATCTGTCCTTGCCATCAAGGAGTTTACAATCTAAGGCCCTTATCTCATATATATACACACATACAAGGACCAATTTAAACAGGAGCCCCTTCACCTACCAGCATGTCTTTGGAGTGTGGGAGGAAACCAGAGTACTCGGAGGAAACCCGCACAAGCACAGGGAGAACATGCAAACTCCATGCAGATAGTGTCTTGGCCAGGATTCGAACAATCGCTTGCACAAATTTAAATCATTGCCCTGTTGTTCAGTATGTGTAGCGATTGATTCGTGTTCTCGGACAGGAAATTTGTCACTGACCATTTCTTGTGATTGCAGTGGTAAATGGCAGCGACTGGACTCACAGACGATTGGTTGCTGGCTCTCACATCGCCGCTGATATCCGGGCAGCCGTGCACAGCAGACTGGGTCTCACAAGCTGTGCTGGGATAGCCTGTAATAAGGTTCTCTCTAAGCTGGTAGCAGGGACCTTTAAACCAAACCAACAAACTGTTCTGTTTCCTGAGAGCAGCAGCCACTTGATCAACAGCCTGAACCACGTGCAGCGAATTCCAGGTATGTACTATGTAAGCATTAAAGCCTATCTCATTTTTAGGGCATCTGTATAAAACACTTTTTAATTTTCCTGATCTCTGCTTCCCTGGCAGTTGGTACTCTCCTTGTGGACTGTCTCTCAGCATCCTTGCGTATAATGCAGGGCTATGGGCCCTGCATTGTATGCATTGACATCAGCTGAGATGGGGGAGGCTCCAGGTGTGGATCTTGTAGCCAGTGGGAGCAGGGATCAGGTAACACTCTTTTACATAGATCCTAAAGACATTAACAAGCAGTTACCCCCTCTGCGGAGGGGATTTTTTTTTTTTCTTGTAGATCGGTTTTAAGTAGTTTTAGGTAGGAAGGGAGATCTTGTATAACCCTAGCCAGGTACTGAAATGGACAGTGTCTGTGCCGTATCTCTGCCCTGTCCTGATTGCCGTGCCTGCAGAGGTCAGAATACCCCAACAGTGACTGTAGCTGATGGGTTGCAGTTGCTGTTCAGTCAACAATTTTCATCCCAGTTCCTTCAACGAAAGTTGATTGAAAACTTCATTGAAAGGTGCATTTGACCTGCTTGGGGTTTTGCATTTCCATAGATTTGTATGTGAATGCCAGAACACTCTTGGAGCGAACATAACCCTGTCGACACAGGGTCATTAGCTGCTTGAAGTTTAATGAATAACTAAATGTGCTTAGCTCGGCACATTTAGTTATTCATTTTCCACGTATACACACTCACAGTGGATGTACATTCCAGTGCCTTGTAGCTGTTAGCTTGCTTATTGGCGCAGTTCATTCTTTATATTGTATTAGCTGCTTGAAGTTTGCTATATGCTTTATAAAGGGGCCTGTTTAAAAACAATATGCAGGGCTATTCCCCCTATGAATATCTGTGAACATTCGATCTGTACAGATGTATAACAAAACAAATGTTCGGTATTTTATTTTACTAGTCAGCGTATTTGTTGTTTTCTTCCCATGTTATATTGCATTATGGCCACTAGATGGCACTGAGAAGCATCGAAAATAATTGGTTATTTTTCTGTGCTCCTCATCGCCACCTAGTGGCCATCATGCAATAAGGGGAAAGAACAACCTATGCCATGTACTTGGCATAGAACTTTTTGGCAGATACCTGCACGGATCGAATGTTCATAGATATTCACTGGGCGAATGACCCTGCAAATTGTTTATACACAGATGCCTATGTATTATGCTTTTGAGATTTCCACCAGCTGCTGTGGTTTAGAGCCTGTCCCTACCTCCTTCTTAGTGTTAGCCTATAGGTGGCCAATAATTAGGTGTGTAGGAGGTGGGACCAGGCCCTCAATCACAGTAGAAAAGGTGAGACAGCATGTGAGGTACCTGCTCTGATGGTGCTTTACCATTGGTTCTTTGATACATGGTTGAGTAAAGATTAAACTGTGCTTGTGTGAATGAGGCCTTGAAGTCCCAGGTGTGTGTGTGTGTGTGTGTGTATGTATGTGTATATGCAGTATTTCTATATGCAAATATTTGTGAAGCTGAATGCCATGCCAAGATGACTCTGAGAAATGTGGTCTTACTGATGTCTTTAGAATTTGGGCATATTTAGCAAAGGATAAATGCATTTCTCTATGGTTTTATTATTGCACCATAGGAGTACTGAGACATATAAAGTAGAATTTCTTAAGTCACTATTAGGGATGCACCAATACCGATACTAGGATTGGTATCAGTGCCAATACCGAGTATTTGGATGAGTACTCGCCCCAAATGCTCCCGAAGCTAGAACTTCCGACATCAGGAAGCCGGGCATCAAGTCATTACACGCTGTCTGGCTTCCTGATTGGCCGAGAAGCCGGCTCCATGCTCCCTCGCACGGAGCTGGCTTCCCAGCCAATCAGGAAGCCGGGCGCCGTGTAATGACTCGTTGCCTGGCTTCCTGATTGGTCGGGAAGCTGGCCAATCAGGAAGCCAGGCGGCAAGTCATTACCTGCCTCCCCCCCCCAGTTTCCTGATTGGCCAGAAAGCTGGCCGCATGCTCCCTCATCACATGGTGATGAGGGAGCATGGAGACGGCTTCCCTGCTAATCGGGAAGCCGGGTGGCGAGTAATTACACGCCGCACGGCTTCCTTTAATGGGACTTCCGGCATCTGTATTTGGTATCGGCAAGTACCGAAAATGAAATATCGAAAAACCGGTACTGGTGCATCCCTAATTACTATACACTGAGCCATCCCGACTAATGCTTATGCTCCTGCATAAATAAAGTACAGTGAGTGAGTGTTGTCACCCTAGGACAGGAAGTGTGTTACTGGCAGGATTATCATGTGGAGATAGAGGAAAAAAATAAAACTGCAGTATATTAGTTTTTGTTCTTTGGTATGGATACACTTGAAGCATAAAGCACTAAATCACTTCAAACTACAGGACTTTTATGTTGAAAAGTTTTATCTGTAGTTTACTATAGTCTATTAGGGTCACATATGACAATGTCAGCAAGATAAATCTTTCCCTGTTTCCTATAGGTATTGGCCACAAAACCGCCCAGCGCCTTGAAGGTTTAGGGTTGTCCAGCATATGTGCCCTTCAGTCCTGTCCTGTCACTGTGCTTGAAAAGGAGTTCGGGTCCCCGACAGCTTATCGTCTCCAGCAACTCAGCCGAGGTGAAGATGATTCCCCGGTGACACCATCTGGTCCTCCTCAGGTACTGGAGACTTATTCTGTGTTCTCGGTGGGATCTTGTTTGAAAAAGAGGAAATTGTGTATAGTGTTGGAGTCACTTGATGTTTCCTTCCTGTAGTGTTCATTATGGAAACGTTAAGCTTCCAGCAGAGCATGAGGGATGAGCACATTGACTCAAGGGCTTTATATCTTGAGAAACCTTTTATTTATTTCTTTATAACAGTCTCTCAGTGAAGAAGATTCATTTAAAAAATGTTCCACATTAACAGACGTGAAGCTAAAGATCGAGGAGCTGCTCAGAAGCCTTTTAAATAGGTGAGTGTCAGATTGTATCTGCTTGCCCTTTAATATTACTCTATAATAATTTGCTGTGAGTTTGGAGCTAATTCGATTCGCTAATGGAGATATATGTTAGAGTAGACCACTACTTCCTTTGACAGCTCTGTATGCTGATATGAAATCATCTTACAACCATTACCTAAACAAACATTTTTATTTTACTTATAATGTCCACTTCCTGGTCCGCTTTGGCTCAAATTATGTAATTGTGCCCCAGCATTGCATCCAGGGAAGGTTACATCAGCAGAGCATTGCTGGGAAATCTCATCTGTAATCTCACGAGATATCAGGGTAAGGCATTTTTCTCCCCTGAGATGATGTGCATGGTCACATGTCCTAGTCACATGTGCCAGAGTTCCAAAAAGTTAATGGAGATCTAGTAACTTGCCGTTAGTTAAAATGGCCGCTGTGAGAAGAATGGGGAGGAAAAGAAAAATAAGATATGGAAAGAATACAAAGCCGGCAATTATCTAGAAGGATGTGTTTGTAGTTTTGCCATTACTAAAGATTTCTAAAGGTGCCTTTGTTGTTATTTTGAAGATACGGGTAAAGTTCCTCTCTAAGTGGAAGTTTATCCTACATTTCCTCTTTAGGTAAAGTAGATGTAAAAAAAACAAAAAACAACCGGGCGCCTTTCCGTGTGCAGGTAAAAACGCTCGGTTGTTTTTGTTTTTCTATATAGCATTTCTGAACTCTCTGACTGGAACGTGGAAGCCTCTACTGGATGTGCAGTGAAGGGTTCTGGCTTATGGATGGTCTTCCTGGCGCTGGTCGGTGTATTGCATTTTTTGGATTTTTTTAAAGTAGCTGTAAAGCCTGACTGAATGGCATTCAATTTGCTAAAGCACTGTTTGTCATAAACAATTTGCATTTTTTTTTTCCCCGCAAAATCCTGTGTTCAGCTTTTTCAATCCTTAGACTTTTTGTCTACATGCACTCCAGTGATGGCTTCAGGGCATTTCTCAGGGCCGGTTTCCTAATGGTGACCATGTCTGCATAATGTGTTCCTAAACACTCGGTTGTAGTCTCAATTGGAAGCCTATGTCACAGGATGACAAATCAGGAAGGAGTTAATTTATAAAAGTTCTGCCCGGCACCATTCGCTCTGCACTAGCGCCCCTAGATAGTGTTAATGAGTAAAATAAATTACTATACTCGTCCGCACCATCTAGGGGTGCTAGTGCCATTCTAATGACATCTGCCCGCCTATAAGCCATGTGGGACTTTTATAAATGAACTCTGAAATTTCTTGAGAACCGAAGTTAAAGAGTAAGAACTCACCAAGTTGCTCTGAGGAAGGGGACCCAGCAAGGATCTGAAATGTTGGGAGTTTGGCCTTTGTGACATCATGTACCCAATCATGCTGTTGACTTCTTAAGCTGGTCATACACTTTGAGTAAGACTCTCCATTCTCCCATCCCATTCTCCCATCCATGCTAAATTTCAACCATTGTATGGCCAGCTTTACTCTGTAACTCTAGTTATGCATGGCACCATCTGTTGTAGTCATTACAAGCACCATCTGAAGCTATAATTGGTCTAACCAGCATCAGAACTGTGTAGATCTATATGGAACTCTTTCCCTGAGTTCTGGTAGTGTCCCCTGCTGGACATGGAACCAGGAGGTCAAATCCACAGCAGAGACCTTGCTGTCACAGTAGGACTGGGGGAGGAGGGAATGATCTTGGGTGAATAGGGTTGACGACCACTTTTGTTGGTTGCCTATCATTTTTGGATGGCTAAAGAAGACCTCTGTGCTCACAGCCAAGAGCCAGGATCATCAGTCTGCTCATGAGACGGCAGCATAACATAATACACTGTGATCATATACATACACCATCCTCACTTTTACCCACCTTACTGCAATGTTTCCAGGTCACCTAGGATAATGGAATATAAAATGTTTATTGGAATAACATTTTGTATATACCGGTATGACACTGAACGGTGCACAGTTGACAGTGAGATGTAGCTTTGATAATTGTTTACTCTCATCTCTCCAGAGTGTATGTGGATGGAAGGAGTCCTCAGACCCTGCGTCTCACCCTACGACAGTCCTCACCCACCAACAGATATTTCAATCGGGAAAGTCGTCAGTGTCCTATCCCGAAGAACGTCATTCAGAATCCGAGCAGCGGTGAGCAACTCCTGGGAGAAACGTGTTCAGCGCTCGGTCGGCAGACTCTGCAGTGTTGGCTTTGGCTTTACAATGAAATTTGAGACTAGAGAGATGATTAAACTGATTCGCAGGGTGTCCTGGATTTAGCTGATTTCCGGGAAAGTCAGAAATGAATTCCAGTGAGGGAAAACAAGGGCACACATGAAAACATTTCTGTATATCTCTATCCTTGTTGCAGGTTTTTCTTCACCTCCTGTCTGGTGAAACCGTTGTCACCATGACAGTATGCCAGGGGAAACCTCTCTATCAGAGCCCCAACTAGCAATAAAAAACACATGGGTTCTAATCATTTCCCTAATCCACTGGCGTAACTATAGCCATAGCAGGCCAGCTGGCTGCTATGAGGCCTGGGGGTGGAAGGGGGCCCCATTAGGTTGTTGAGGCAAATTAAACAAAGGTGTGAAGGTAACACAGTACTGTCATTAAGGGTTGGAGTGGTTACAGTTGATGACAATACTAACCCTCTGTAAAGTGTACAGCGTAGGAAAAGCTGATGTCCGATGCATCAGAGGAGTCTTTGGAATCTTGGTGTTAGTCACAGCTCAGAGAAAGGTCATCAGGGGTCGCCCCCCATCACATTATTGCTATGGGGCCCCGTGATCTGTAGTTACGCCCCTGCTCCACTCTATATGAATCTAGAAGAAAATGTTTTAGCTGGACATACACTTTTTGCACATAATTTACAATATTTTTACATTGATATTAGATGCCAATTCATGTATTCCTTTGCTTCATGTATTACTTTGCTTCATATGCATTGTCAGAATCTATTAGCTATTTATCTATATATTATGCGGCGCTAGGACCTTACCCAGCAAAAATTTAGAGGGGAAATCAAAGGCATAGGGACCTAAGGAGTTCTTTTTCTTACCGTTGCAACCTCAGTCTGCAAGTCACGTGTCAAGTCCTCTTCCCTCTTGTGTCCTCAGCCAGCGCTGTCATTTTTCTGACCTGTATGTCAGTGTGTTCTCCAAAGACTTCTACTTGGGAATCTTCTCACTGACATACTCCGAGGTCATGTCTGCCACAGGATCTGTATGGGGAAGTGGTCTGCACTTGAATCGGCCGGTTAGTCCGGGGGGGTGGAGGGCGGCGTTGCTGCCTTGCCTAGGGCAGCAGCAAAGGTAAATACACCGCTGAATACATGGACATTTCTCCTTGGTTATCCCTTAAACAGCCTGCAAGTGCAGAAAAATACCTGTTCGTGTGCCAAAAATATGTGTTGTCTGCAGGGCCGTCTTTAATATTGATTGGACCCTGGGCAAACATTTTCATTTTCCACCACACCATAGAATCACCCTACGGTGAATAAATACATATTGGGTATTTTCCCACTATATATTGTATTTATTCACCATAGGGTGATTCTGCATATTTCTATATTTATTTCACAGGTAGATCATCATTAGATTGTATATGTAGTTGGTCTATAAAGCGCAGTGCACTTTTATAATTCATTTTTTAGGTGTTATTTACACTTTTTAGCATGGCAGCTAATAGGTTTATTGTTCCATAGCACATATCCTGTTTGTTAAATTATCTATAGGTGCATCCCTAGTATTGAAAGCACAGGAAGCTTTGCTGCAGCCATAGAACTTGATGACATTTCCTATAAAAATTATCAATCCTGCTTCAGCAGCATGGATTGAACAGAAGCAATATCAGAAATCTGCTCTACATATGAATGTATTGAACACAGTATATGTATCTGTTGCATACATATACTGTGGCATATATGGGCACTTACTTGGTGTGAAGATGTAGAGAGGGAACACAGCAGGGGTGACAGCTTAGGGCACGATGCAGGCTCCCAGCAGGCCCGCTCACACAGGCGCACGGAGTACAGAGAGAAGCAGGGGGCGGGGCCGAGTTGATAGGGGGCGGAGCCCGGAGTGCCGTCCATAGTGCTGTATGTAGCCTCCTGTCTGTAGAGCTCCGACGCCGTGTACACAGACAGGAGGCAAGGCTGGTGCAAGCCCCCTTGCCTATACAGGTGAGGCTGCCAGCCCTGCACGTGTATATCTTCTTATGTGGGCTGAAGGGGCAGCTGCTTTGGGCCCCACAACAATGACTGGGCCCTGGGCAACTGACCCTTTTGCCCTGCATTAAAGACGGCCCTGGTTGTCTGACATGACAACACAGCTCTGAATTCACAAACACATGGTGTCTGCCCTGTCTACTTAATTTTTAATGGATTACAAAGAACACCGACCCCTCCTCATCTCTTCCCCCAAATCAAATCCTTAGCCACTCCCAACAGGAAGTTGCAGTATCAGCTTACAAGACTTCTGGCAGGATCAACTGGTATTTTTTGTACTTACTGAACAGATATAACGAAACAGTTTCAATGGTATATGTAGCATATCAAAAGGGAATAAATATTATTCAGTTCAATAAGAATATTCATTGTTTGGGTTTGCATACACTTTAATGTTGTTGTTTTTTTACATTTCTGTGGGTAGAGAGCTCGTTCTCTGTTCTGATGGAACTACTTATGAAGCTGTTTGAGAAGATGATTGATGCTAAGACACCCTTTCACCTCACCCTTCTCAATGTCTGCTTTTCCAACCTCAAGTCTGCTCAGACCTCAAACTCATCTCGAAATTCAATAGGATTTTACCTAACTCAAAAGAAAGCTCCATCAATGGAGGCCAGTCAGATCAGCAAGGTAAGAGGACAAACATGGTAGACTGGGCGCCATGGTGGCTAAGTGGTTAGCAGGTCTTACTTTGTATTTCAAGTTCCTGGTTCCCAGAAGGGACACTATGCTTGAGGTCTGTATTCCAGGTGCTCTCGTTACCTGTCATTAACCAAAAATTTACTGTTAGTGGGAATGTTCAGATACAAGTGCCAATACTTGGCATTAGGGATGCACCCGGTATCGGTTTTTCGGTATCTGGTACGAGTACCGATATTTATATTCCAGTACTCGCAGATACCGGTACTTCCGGTAGCATAGAGCCGGCTTCCCGGGCAATAAGGGAGCCACCCACTGCCCGGCTTCTTGATTGCCCTGGAAGCCGACTCCATTCTGATTGGCTGGCTCGATGCTGATTGGCTGGGAAGCCAGCTTCCCAGCCAATCGGCATCGAGGCCGGCCAAACAGATCTGACAGTATGGTGACACGACCATCAACCCTGCAGACACCTCATTCCCCTCACATAGATCCTCAACAGCCCTCATTACCGTACCAGTCCCTCGGCCACCTGGCCGAGGGACTGGTATGGTAATGACGGCTGCTAAGGATCTATGTGAGGGGAATGATTTGTCTGCAGGGTGGGGGTCGCGTCGCCATATTATCAGATTTGTTTGCCCGGCTCGACACTGATTGGCTGGGAAGACGGCTTCCCCGCCAATCAGCATCGACCCAGGTTCCTGGCTCAATGTTCCCTCGCGGCACTGCCGGTCAGAGGAAATCTCCCTCTGACCGGAAGTTCCAGTGTCGGGAAAGATATCGGAGCATTTGGGCGAGTACTCGCCCAAATACTGGGTATCGGCACCAATACTAGTATCGGTATCGGTGTATCCCTACTTGGCATTTCACAAGAACTACCAGGGTTGCAGCTGTGACCGGGTCCTGGCGCTCCACCACTGTCCTGAAAGTATCTGAACATTTATAAACTGTGGGATGTATTATCTTTTTTTTTATTACTAGTAAGAATTTTGTACAAAACAGGCAAAAAAAGAAAAAACAAACTAGGTCAACATAACCTAGTAACAGACATAAAACCATAAAACCAAGAATCACAATGAGGTTACAGTCTCAGTACACAAAGTGCAAGGTTAAGCTTCGACATCTATCAGTGCGCATAATGGGATCAGCAAGAAGTCAAAGGTATTATGCCAAAGTACAATTTACAATCATGAAGTAGTCATAGTAGTGAAGGACAACCATGGGCCCCAGATTCGATCAAAGCTCTGCGGATTGCCTCTATGTTCATAGGTAAGTTTTTATAAAGTGGTACGGCTGCTGTACGCGCTATTGTGAATAGCTCATACAGCAGCCCTACGATTCGACTAAACCGAAGGGCTCCGGCGGCCGAATTGAGCCGAAGGATTAGCTGGTGCTTCAGCTTAAAGGAGAACTATGGGGTTAAGGCTTTTCCCCATAGTTCTCCTTAGGGTAACGGGAGGACACAAACTAGCGTCCTCCCGTCACCCTAGGCTCAGTATACCGTGAGCTGTAGCTCGCGGTATACTGAGACGCTGAAGCGGATCCCGACAATTTGCCGAGATCCGCCCAGCTGCTTGACTGACAGCTGGCTCTGCCTATCTAGAGGCAGAGCCAGCTGTACCCGCCCCTCCCTCGTCCGTTCCGCCAGTCAGCGCTGGCGAAACGGGGAGGGGGAAATCCAGCCCCTCCCCTGTCATGGCAGAGAGCCATGACAGGATCGAGAGGTGAGCGAACGCCGGTATATGTTCGCTCACCTCCCGACCTGTGACAGTCTCATTGCCACAGGTCGGCTAGAACTATGAGGTGAGTGAAAAGCACTCATCTCATAGTTCTCCTTTAATCCTTCGGCTGCTTCGTGAATAACCCTCAAAATGTTGGCTTTTGACGTTAGAGTACTTTTCTTTGATGTCTGTAGGTCAGTTTAAAGCCCTGGATTCTTGTATTCCTTTGTGACTCTGCACCTCCCGTCTCAGACCCAAACATTGTTGGGAGCTTTATGAAGAAAGATCGATGATGGGGAGGAATCGCTGCTCCAGATAATTCACTTGTGTATATAAATTTCATATTAACCTCTGTAAACAAAGTCTTTTCAAGAGGGCACCACCTGTTGGTTTCATATAAAAATGCATCATATTCATGTGCAATATTTCATATTTACCCAAATACTACATACAATATAAATACACTTTTTTATCTTTCAGTTCTGACCATAACAAAGAATATACTGTATATACAACACCACCACCTTGATAACTATTTAAATTTTTAGTATAGTGGAGTTTATTGTGGAACTGTAGTTACCCTTTAAAGGAGAACTATGAGGTGAGCGCTTTTCACTCAGCCTCATAATCTGAGCCGACCTGTGACAATGAAACTGTCACAGGTCGGCTCAGTAGATCGGGAAGTGAGCGAACACATACCGGCGCTCGCTCACTTCTCGATCCTGTGCCGGCAGAGAGCCGTGACAGGGGAGGGACTGGATTCTCCCATCCTCTGTCCGATCCTCCAGCTCTGACTGGCGGAACGGACGGGGGAGGGGGCGGGTACAGCTGGCTCTGCCTCTAGATAGGCAGAGCCAGCTGTCAGTCACGCAGCTGGGCGGATCCCGGCAAATTGTCGGGATCCGCTTCAGCTGCGTCGTCTCAGTGTACCGCGAGCTGAGGCTCGCGGTATACTGAGCTTTGGGTGACGGGAGGACGCTAGTTTGTGTCCTCTCGTTACCCTTCAGAGAACTATGGGGAAAAGTCCTAACCCCATAGTTCTCCTTTAAGCCAGTGGTTCTCAACCTTTCTAGGGCCGGGACCCCTTAATAACATTTGCCAAGTTGTGTTGACCCCCAACAGAGCGCTGGACTCCAGAATTAGTAGGGTGCTGGACTTAGGACTAAAAATAGAAGCACACTCACAAGAATACAAGCCCTCCCCCTCCCAAGCCCCTGCTACCTGCTTGCCTGCTCTGACTCCATGCAGCCTTCTCAGCCCCAGCACTGCTTAGACGCCCACCTCCTGCAGAGCTCACATTGTATGGGAGGCAGGAGGACAGCAGCGGCTGTGAATTGAAAAGTCCTGCTGTACACACTCCCCGGCCACTAGATGTCGCTGCAGCGGCCAGGGAGTGTGTATAGCGGCACTTTTATATTCACAGCCTCTGCTGTCCTCCCGCTGACTGACACTGCTGTGCTAGGAGGAGGCTGAGGAGCCTCTCACCTAGTGCAGCAGAAGTAGATACTGCGACCCCCTCAACAGTGAGTTGCGACCGACTTTTAGGTCGCGATCCGCAGGTTGAGAACCACTGCTTTAAGCAGAGACCCAAGTGTCTATATCTGATATTTGTAAGACCCCCATTTCAATACTTCAGTACTAGAGGGTCCCAATAAAACACAATTCATTAGGGATGCACCAATACCGGCTTTTCCGTATCGAGCACAAGTACCGATATATATTTTTTTCCGGTACTCGCCGATACTGAATACTGATACAGGAAGTCCCATTAAGGAAGCCAGGCGGCGTGTAATGACTCACTGTCCGACTTCCTGGTACCGGACGTTCCAGTATCGGGATAGGCATCGGGAGCATTTGGGCGAGTACAAGTACTCGCCCAAGTGCTCGGTATCGGCAGCGATACTAGTATTGGTGCATCCCTACAATTCATAGTATAGCATGTTTGGTAATCTGGAAATCCCATAACTGAACCATTTCTGTTCCAGAGCCAGAAGCTGTACACCGCTAGCCCAACCCAATATGTAATATTTTTTTTATCTGATCTTTTTCTTAACCAGGACCCTGGAGCAACGGCAGAGGATCTTAAAGATACAGAACCTTGTTCAAACCTCTGTTCACTGGAATCGGATCACCCTGCTTCCCTATCTCTCCCTGACCACATAGACATGGACGTGTTCAGTCAGCTACCTGATGACATTAAAAAGGAAATCCTCTCAAGCCCACGAACTGGAACAGTGCAAAAAAGCAGCAAGGCCACACAACCATCGCCGTGTTCTAAAGGAATACAGAGTTTCTTTATGAAAGCCAACGCTAGACATCTACAAAGTTCTTTTACAGCTGGAAGTTCTTCTGGATCTGAAATGTCAACGCCAGGTCTACATAACAAGATGGACTCCAGTGGTGCATCACTTTCCATAGGGCGCAGCTCATTTACAGGCACTCAAAGTGCAATAAGTGGTGATAAGACCGCTTGCGCCGGTTCGTCCTCTTGCATTTCAGACAGCAACCAAATTAGTCGTTGTCACGACACAGACATGGACTGTGCGGAATCCAGTGACAGCAGCAGAGTTTCCTTTTTTCCTAGAAGTGTGGATATGAATGTGTTTTCTCAGTTGCCAGAGGAGCTACAGAAAGAACTAATGGCTGACTGGAAGCACAAAGAACTCGCTCCCAAAATTCCTGCCATGAAATCTCAGGAGAAAGCAAAGAACACCAAAGGTCAAAGGCCAAGCTCTTCAGCAAAGAAGGACTTGAACAACCTGCTAAAGTATTTTAAACCTGGTTGAAACAAGCTGACTTTTTTTTTTGGGGGGGGGGGCTTGGGACCTAAAGTGACATTAAAGTCCCTTTTTTCCCCCCATTGTAATTCTGCTTTTAATACTTACCTTATGTGATGCCACTCGCTGCGATCATCTTCCTTCCACGTGTTTCCAGCAGTCTCTCCAGCACTGGTGCCGGTCTCTGATCCAGCGCAGACTTCTGTCTGGCGTGCACGCTCCAGGCTGCGTGCATTCACTGACTTGAGTGTCTCTCGTCCTCCCCCCCACCGGTGACAGGGACTGCGCATTCGCACGCCCACATCATCCTCTCGCACGGCCGTTCGGATCTTTGTACTGTAGCCGGGAGCGTGCGGCGCAGACAGAGCTAAGGATTTCATATTTGGTCACTTTTTTTTTTTTTACATTGTGGCAAATATCTATTGCTTACTAGCAGTAGATATATGCAAAAAAAAATGTGACTTTATTTCTACTTTAGTAACACTGAAAGAGAACCCGTGCTTTGCCTATACAGGTCATTTAACTGACACCCTCGCCAGCCGTGCATACTCGCCTTCCTTTGCTGCTTCGCTACTGCTCTGTTCAGCAAGTGAGGGCGAGAAGAGCAATCCATCTGTAATCTACAAATTCAAATTTACACAGAGGACTTCCCAGTGCGGGTAGCCAATCACCAAGGATCAACACTGACATGTGGGAGATAGAGAAGTGGGTAACGTGCTCCCCATACCTGGAATTTCAATGTATTTATCTTCAATCCCAGCAGCAAAGGGAAGGTATGTATGTACAACTGGGAGGCAGCACTGAAAAGAACCTGATGCTTTTCCTTGCATTGAGCTGCTTTCTCATTCAGGGCAATGTGAAAGTGCCTACTGACAGCCCAGGGGGTAAGTATAACTTGTGGCAGGGGGTCAGCAGGAACTGTCACTCTGACCTGAATGGGCAAAGTGCTCATGTTTCTTTAAGCTGTATTTTGTTATATTTAAAGAAAAGTTGATGCTTAAAAAAAATTTGTAAAGCCATTGTTTCAATTTCCTGCTTAAGATGGCTAGTTACTTGTACATTTAATTATTTTTGAACTTTCTATTAAAAAAATTACTAGATTAATCAAAATATTTGTTTTTTTTTGGGTAGAGATGGGATGCTTAAAACAGTGAGCACCACAGTAGTGACATCACCAAATCTATGGAGATCAGCAGTCGGAGGCAGCAGTGCCTTAAATGATCTCACACTGCAGATATACATGTATTAGGCTGAGGGAACAAGAAGTGCACTGCTTTTTTCAGGGGATATTCAAGACAAAAAGTAAATCTTTCATGTTACTGCTTAGGCAAAATTAACATTACTAGATATTAGTAATAAGATAGCAAATCTTGACTTTTTATTTTGTTCAGTTCCACTTTAAAGGCAAACCATTTTTTTTTTGCTACAAAACTGATGTATCTTATCTAATTACTTCTAATATTTTGTTATATCTACTATGAAAGGAACAAAGGAGGACATTTGTCCTTACTCTAACTTCAACTGTCGCCTTTCTAGTTTTAGCACAATGGATGTAACAAAGAGCCTTCAGAGAGAGTTTCCATTGCATTGCATGAAGTCGCATTTCAAGTCTCTAGGTAGAGCTGCCCATATTGGCGCATCTACCTACAGTGAGGACGGCTGGACGCTGTATGAGGTCCTACCCCCCATCTCTCCTAACAAACTCCGTACCTCAGTACGAGCTCTGCCTGGGAGAGAATGTGCAGAAGTCTGAGCTCTACAGCCCTGATCGAGTGATCACAATTGCAATGCTTTCTAGGCTTGAATGCAAATATTAAGAAATGCATATTTTTTAATATATTAATTATGCATTTCTTAAATTTTTGCAAAAGATGAACTTTTCCTTTTAAGTTGTGTATTGTATATCTGCCTAGAGTTAAAGGAGAACTATGGGGTCAGTGTTTTTCCCCATAGTTCTCCTCAGGGTAACGGGAGGACACAAACTAGCATCCTCCCGTCACCCTAGGCTCAGTATACCGCGAGCTGTAGCTCGCGGTATACTGAGACGCCGGAGCGGATCCGACATCGATGTCGAGATCCGCCCAGCTGCGTGAGTGACAGCTGGCTCTGCCTATCTAGAGGCAGAGCCAGCTGTACCCGCCCCCTCCCCCGTCCGTTCCGCCAGTCAGTGCTGGCGGATCGGAGCGGGGAGGGGGGAATCCAGCCCCTCCCCTGTCACGGCAGAGAGCTGTGACAGGATCGAGAAGTGAGCGAACCCGGTATGTGTTTGCTCACCTCCCGATCTACTGAGCCGACCTGTGACAGTCTCATTGTCGCAGGTCGGCTAGAACTATGAGGTGAGTGAAAAGCGCTCACCTCATAGTTCTCCTTTAATCTTAGACACAAGATATTGTATATTTACCCAGCACGCAACATAATGGAGACAGATATCTAGCAATGCCAATCTCCCCCTGTTTTGATACATTGTAAAGTGGTAAAGGTTAAGCTATGCCTAACCCCGAACAAAGAATGCAATCACAACATGGAAAAAGACCGCTTGGAAACTAAATGTATACAATACATTATTGCAGAGAAAAGACTCATATTCACTATACTGACCTTTTCTTCTTCAATATGTTTTATTAGGTTTTTGTGGAATACAAGACAAGCAAATCACACATAGTTTAGTTACAGCTGTGTAAGGGAACAACGTGTCGAGAAAATAAAGTAGTGAAGGGGTGGTGACCACCACCCGGGGGTCGCGGAGCAGTTAGCGAATGAGGGTTTGTGTTATCGGGTCAAGGGAGGATAGAAAAATGGAGGACCATGGGTCCCATATAGTATGGAATCTCCGGTTTGTGTCCAGTAGTAAGCTAGAGAGATGTTCGTTAAGAAAGAACCCCTGTACACGTTGCTGGAATTCAAGATACGGGATGGCTTGTTTCTTCCAGGAATGGGCTATTGTTTGTTTAGCCGCTAGAAATATATAATTAGCCAATTGCCATTGGGGCCGTGTAAATTGTGGGATTTTAACATGGAGGAGGGGTTGCCAGGAGTCCTTTGGTAATGTTATATTGAATATTAAGTGGAGGAGTCTGTAGATTTTAGACCAGAATCTGGCCACAAATGGGCATGTCCACCAGGTGTGCATCATGTCCCCCACGGCCCGACACCCTCTGAAGCACAAGTTAGAGCAGGTCGGGTAAGGTGACAGAGACGTGAGGGCACGAGATACCACCTGGAGAGCACCTTATAGGCCGCTTCCTGGGTAATAATGTTCCGAGAGCACCTGGAGATCGCATCCCAAATCGCCCACCACTCCTCCAAGGTCCTAGTACGGTTGAGGTTCCGTTGCCAAGTTGTGACGTACCCATGAGTGGCAGCGGAGGAGAGGGTGTTAAGCTGGGAGTAAAGGAGGGAGATGAGGCTCGGAGAGCTAGGGGTACGGAGGCAGACGCGTTCAAAAGATGTAAGAGGTGGGCAGGCTGAGGAGCCCGGGAGCAGGGATTGAATCCAATGCCTGATTTGGATAAATCGGAATATTTCCCGATAGACTTTCTTCTACTGAAATCATGAACTGTTCCCAGACTGCAAGCATACTTCAGCAAGTGTTAAATGACCAAAGCCCAATTTCAGGCTGGGCAACAAAAAATCTCATCCTTTTATTCAAATTAGCCGATGCCCTTATTTATATTAACCAGTCCTACTTCTTTTTGCACCCATGTGCTATGCGCACCACTGTTGTGTCACCTTGATGAGCTCCATACATGTATTCATGAAAGTGACAGTTAAATCTTAAAAATACATTCAAGTTCCTTAACTATTAACAAAAATGTATCTTATTTGTGTATCACTCGGCAGTAGATCCTCCAATCATCTCTGAATTGGTGCTGACACTGTCCTTCCAATCTTAATACAATTTAGTAAACTAAATGTGAGATTGTAGTCCATAACGGGACAGAGCTTAGGCATAACTAACATTTCTAGATGTTTCCTATAACATTAAAAAAACTTCAATTTTATACATGCATTTATGTATTTATACAATGATCACCTTGTATAAATACATAAATGAAAAAATAAAATAAAAAAAATAATGAAAACAAATATTATGGCGTTGCTTACCTTCCGCAGTGGTGATATACATATACATAGTTACCTAGTATTTGAGGTTGAATAAAGACACCGGTCCATCAAGTCCAACCTTTATGTGCCTGTATGTGATTGTGCATGAGTGTATATAGATCCCTGTGTGGTCTAGTTTTTAAGAGTACCTGTAGCCCTGTATGTTGTTGTCTCTGTGGAAGGTATCTAAATGCTTTTTTTACATGATTTAGATCACCCAAGATTCATAGATACATTCAAGTACATGTTCTATTAACAAAAATGAATGTTATTTGTGTATGACTCGGCTGTAGATCCTCAAATCATCTCTGAATTGGTGCTGACACTGTCCTTCCTTCTGGAGGGGAGATACTTTTGTTCTCCATGGTCCTTCTGTGTGTTGTAAAGTAGACACCACCCCAAGCTCGGTCCTGGGCTGGACTACAGTCTCAGGTTTGGTTTACTAATTTGTATTTAAATTGTAGTCCATCCTAGGAGTGATCTTGGAGCGGTGACTACTTTACGACACACACAGGGACCATGGGGAACACAAGCAGCCACCCTCCAGAAGGCAGGACAGTGTCAGCACCAGAGATGATTGGAGGATCTACAGCCGAGTGATACACAAATAAGAGACATTTCTGTTAATAGTTAAGGGACTTTAACCCTTTTGCTGCCAAGGACGTATGGCATGCGGACCTACAAAAGTGCTTCCAGCTGGCCAGGTCAGTATGCCATACGGACCTGGCATTTACAGTTCTACTATAAGCTGATGGTCGCTTTAGCGACCATCAGCTTATAGTATAACTGTTCAGCAGACTGTCCCCTTTAAATTAATAGCTGTCATCAGCGGCTCACAAGCCGCTGATGACAAGGGTTAATGCATTTTTAAGATTTAGCTCCTGAGTTTAGTGTCACTTTAATTA